CGCGCCTTTAAATATAGAATATGGAGCACCTTGCCCGCCACCGCGACGCGATGGGATTGTGCAAGCGTAATTTTCTCTGCCCTGCACTCGCCACGTGTCCCCGCCGTTCATCACCCCGCTGTTCACCCTGCCGTTCACCCCTCGTGGTTTTACGATACCGTACGTCTTCCATCGGTTCGCCCGTATTTTCTTTCGAAACAGATTCGCTCCGCCGAGGGACGCGGAAACCGTGCGCGCTCGAACGGCGAACTGGATTTGGGTTGGCCGAAAGATCTATCTTGGTTCGTTAGCTCGTATTTCTAGTTCGAACCTATAATTCTTTTATCGCGAACCGGGTATGAAAGGGGAATCTAGAGCGTGGATGGCGAGACGAGCGTGGATCGCGAAGTACGTTTAGACAAGTGGAATTCTACTTCGTAAACTCGAACGTCTGTCTCCGCTGTCTTACGTAGGTACGCGTGCACGTATGCGGAATGGATAAAAATAATACGCGGACGAAACGATAACCAGTCTACGTGCCGTAAACGGTACTCGCGGGTACCTCCTAGCCATCGCCGCGAACGATTCTCGCCCGGTGGATTTTTAAAACACCCCCGCGCCGCGGTATCGCTTTCGATCCGATCGATCGAATTTCACCGTCCTCCGGTTCTCCAATTATAACGCGTCTAACCGCTGCCGCCCCCTCGTTGTAATTTACCGTCGCGGCGGTATTGCTTTACCGGCGTCGAAATAACGCTGTCGTCGCTCCACTTTCGTCCTCCTCCGTCCCTTTATATTATTATTATTCTCATGCAGCACGCGTGGGTCGTATCTCGCGCGATGCGTACACCACCGATCCCTCGCGATTAATATAGCCGTGGCGCGTGTAAGCCCACGATTCCGCGAACGCGATAACACGCCAGTCGTTACGGCCTTCTCTCCTCCGCCGATTTCCATCCTCGCACGCGCTCTAAACCCTCTGTCAACCACCGATCGCTCTAAACGTTTATCGCGCCTCTCGTAAACTCGTCGCGCGCCATCGTCCACGAACCGTGAAACGCCAAACGGTCGTCCTCGTTCGTCGTCCGATTTTTCCTCTTTTCCCTCTTTTTCCTCTTTTTCCTCCTTTTCCTCTTTTTCCTCTTTTTCCTCGCCGACCCTCTCGCGGCACGCGTTTCCTCCAGGCCTGCTTCTCCGTGGAGAAATAAGACGGTAAAATGAACGCAATTAGTATCGCTCGCGGGGTACGGCTCGAAGCCATAGATTCCACGGTATCGAACGACCGCGACCGCGATATCGCGGACTATTCGTAAATTACGCGATGCAGAATACGGGAATTTTTCCGACTGCTTTGTTTTTCGATTACGCGAAGCTGCCGCGCGGAAAGGATCCGCGCAATTTATATCGACGATAGTCCCCGCCTCGATTACCGACGTTTCTCGTATCAATGAATTTACCCCGGGACCGGTACGATCGCGGCGAAACTCAGCGATAAACTACGAGAACTAGTTAAGCCTGTTTTCTATAATATCCGCCTCCCCCTGTTCCCCCTGTATCAACCGGGCGATCCACGAACAGAGACACGCCTTTCAAACACTGTCACGCACCGAGATAACTGCATTAATGCTACGGCAACCGTGATGACCACTAAGAACGAATTAATCTCCGCTCGGTTTTACTCGAATTATCGTAACTTTCGATGTAGCTTGTACTCATTTCGCGCGGATCCGACACGCGATTACGCGCGCGTGTTTTAATCCCGTCGTAACATCCGCGCTTGACGCGCCTCTGGCATAGCGATTAGCCCCGAGTCGATGTTAGCCAAATCGCGATCAATCGAGATAATACGGATAGAGGAGACGCGGGGATCGTGAAAGATGCGACAGGAAGGAATACGCCCATCGAAAACGAAGAAACGATGGAGTTACGGAGTTACGCGTGGTTGCGCGCCACGCGGAAGAAATTATCCGAGAAAACGAAGACGATGAATTCGCGCGATGGAAATGGGGAAATTGTCGGTGCTGGAATTGCAAATTTTTCAAACGGAAAGGAATTTCGAAACTTAAAAACCGAGCTTTTTACCGCGGTTTCCGCCGAGCGGACTCTTTTCGCGCGAATCGCCCGCTAATCCGGACAGCTCATTGGCCATGCCTGATATATCATCGATCCAGGACAGGTCGGAATTTACTATCGATGGGACGGAGAAGAGAGCGTACGCAGGGAGCGGCGATCGTATTTTGGCAAATATCATTGCGGCCATAGTCGATAACTCGGTGATTCGTCATCGACTGCCGACCGATAGTCAAATGAACGGGCTGTCGTAAATCGTTGCACCGGTGTGCACTAACGCATAAATCAAAACGCACACGGTTGTCAGGTGTTTCAGGCAGACTCGTTATCGTTGCGTCACGCGCGTGATATCGACTACGCGCGAAAATATTCCGGGGAAAATACGCACGTTGGACCAACGTAACTCTGCTTCCTCTTGCTATTAATCCTCGCTAGTCGCACCGACGATGGTAATTTAACCTTTCCTCCATCTTTTCCTTCCTCTCTCGCTGCGTCTTTCTAATTTTCCTTCCTTTTCCTTCCATTCTCCTTAACGGAGCAATAATAATCGCCAAGGCGACGTGTCTACGAACATCGAACAAACGTTCCAGCGCCACTAGGGCGCCAGTGAAAGTATAATAGCGAGGATATTAACGAGTACAAAAGACTCCACCTTCGTGACCACGCAATGCACGCTTTTTATTACATCGGCCGCGTGACTTATATTTAAACGACGCGACACTATTATACCACACGCTCCGTCCGTCGTCTGTATGACGTAGCGACGCAAACACGAGGACGAATCGTCGCGTTATTAACTCTGGACTCGAGACCAAGCAGTACCGTGCCTGACACTTAAAATCAATTAGCGGTACGCGTCAATTAGAAAGTCGGCTGGCCTCTTCGATGTCGATTTCTTACTCCACCGAGCTTTGAAACGTGGGACGATCGTTCTGTTTTTTCGGGCTTGCCTCGACGTAATACCTATGTACAACGTACATCGGTACGCGCCAAATCCTATCGAGCGTAATAATCATCCGCGTCTATGAGTTTCGATACGAAAATTACCTAAGCTACGTCGCAGCTCGGGTGCTCTTACGAGCCGAACGAAACGGAATTATCGAAATTACGATCAACGCGGTTGTTCTCGAGGCTACCCGATTTATATCTACGCTCCTGGAAGAAAAAGTTCGACCGGAAATATCGCGAGTATATACCGAACGTTGCTTCGCCGGAATTCTTGGGATACCTCCCGACTGGCATCGAGATTCGGTAAATTTCTCCCCTCTTGCCCGGAATCTTTCAGAGTCCGAGGAAAACGTCGAAATATCTGGTCGCGAGGAAGGACCGATCAAATCCTCGATTCTTCGAGGCCTTTATCGATAGCCGAACATCAGCAGGCAGACGTTTCAACCGGAGGCGCACGATTTATCGTAGCGAGTCCTTTCGTAGGGGGCCACGACTCGAATTATCGATCAAGGGATACTGGAGGAAACGGGTTCTCGAAGAGATGGACGTCACCGACGACATCGCGACGACGTATCCGAGTGATCGATAGTCCTCTGACCGGCAAGAACGATCCGAGCTGCAGGATGCCGGTCCACTTTGACGGCGCGTTATTATGCAAATTCGACCGGAAGTTCTTTCTGGATTCTTCGTCCTGCGCCACGGGGCCCGTAATTGCTCTTTTCCGCCCTCGAAATCGCCACGGGGATAGCTCCGCCGAATTTCATGCCCGCATACGACCGCATTACGCGCACGAGAACACGGCCGGGTGTAAATTGGCCTTTTTGGCGCTAGACTCGCCGTGTAAACGGAAGAAAATTCGACGCGATCGAAGAGTCGAAAGCTGGTGGTATCTAAAGTAAGGTACCCACGTTTGTTAACCGTTGTCGGGTGGATATCGATCTGTCTATCGGCGTTCTCTCGCTTTTCACCGGCGCAAAAACGCCAATGGAAATGATAGTAATTAGACTACGTTGATTAAGAAAATAACACGGCACGGTTCTAATTCATGCAACACTGTCGCACACGCGATTTCCGTGACTGACATTGCAGGAAATTATAGCGGGCAAAGAAATCCTTGTCCTATCTACCCTCTATCTACCTTGCTTCGTTGGCAAAGAAAAAAATCCTTTTCCTTCCTACCCACGGTAATTTGCGTCAAAACGTCTACGCGGGGAATAGAACGCGTTTACCAGACCACCCTTGCTCCAAATGCTATTCGAAAATTCCTCGCTCTAATCCGCTTAGAGATCGAGAATAACAGCAGTAATATATACATATATGTTTACGTGGGTGTATGCACGTATCGTGGAAGAATATCGAATGTTATCCGAACAAATTAAAATACAACAGTCATGGAGCATTGTTAGCATGCACGACGAACCGAAAACGAATTTTTCCCGCGAAAGCGATTTCACTTCGCGGCAATTTGGCAAAACGGGATATCGAAACGTTACGCGTTCGTCGAATTCCATCGAGAACGTCCCTTTTCGCAATACAATTAACGGTCCGACGTTTTCGCGCGGAAACCGTACAATCGATTTCACTTTTGAATCGTGAATCGTGACCAAGAGAGAGACAGCGCGCGGTGCGTCGATAAAATTACACAAAGAAGCTTCGGGTATTTACGACCGATAATTTAATAGCGCGACGTTTTAATTGACAGGGCGCGAAATTTTACGCGACGAAGTGGCGCGCGAGCGCGATCGATTTCACTGCAAATCGAAAAACGATACTGTTCGCTGATAATAACGCTCCATCATCATCGCGCTCGGGTAACTCGAAACGTTCGCGCGTAAAGACGCGTGTAATCGAATGAAATTCCATTTAAAAGGCTGCACGGAATAGAAAGGACCGTAAAGGTAACGACGATGAAGGGGAGACAACGCGAAAATCCCGCGAGGGGGGGAGGGGGGCGAAGAAAAGAAGCAGACGAAGAAGAAGATGAAAAGAGAAAGAACACTGACCTTGAGGAGACGACGGAAGTAAGGACTGCACGCAGAGAGGACGACCTTGTGCGCGGTGAAGCTGCTACTGTCGCATGCCAGGGTCACGTCCACGAAATCCTCCTCGTCCCTCAGATGACGAAATGAGCTGAGGATGCTCGAGTGGAAGTCGTTCCACCTGAGTGAGTACTGTTGCTCGCCGCTCGACGAGGACGAAGAGGCCGCCATGGCGTCCGTCCCCTCGGGACCCACGGCCGAGGGCACCAGAGGTGCTATCGTGCTCACTCTGGCACCCCACGAGGACACCTTCGCTTCACCCTCTCGTCGCGTTTCACCACGCACCCCTCTCTGTTCTTTATCGACTCCCTTCGGCTCTTCCACGCACAGCAACCCGGACAGTCGTTGCCTGTCCTTGGGCAATTACGTTAACCAAACGCCAGGAATTTTCCGATTTCAGGGATTCTCTGCTTTCAGGGGTTAAACGAGATCGCTGTTTTCCCTTCCACGTCCTTTCGCTCGGCTTACTCTCACCCTTCTTAACGAACGTCCTCCGATCGAATTCTTTGGTAGCCTCGTTCTCTCTTTTTCTCTTTTTCCCCGTCAATCTCCGTTCGTCAGGGTTTTTCCTCTTTCCTTCCGTCTCGTTTCTATCCGTTAGTTGGAAACATCCAAAGTTCGCGATCGACGGAGAACGACGAAGCAATCGGGCGCGGGCCTTCTTCTGGAAACTGTCAGGTGTAAGGAAACGCCGAGTGTACCGGCACGGTGAATCTCATAGTAACGACATCGCGATGATAGCGACGAGAGGACGTTATCCGTCGCTGCTGCTGGAGAGTGACGAGGCAATGAGCCCGCGATCGTTTCTGAAAACAATGCGGCGTCTATTGCGAGCGCTCGTGATCCCCGGCCACGTGACGTAGCCTGTTCGATATCCTTCGATATCTCGTATTTTACACGTTTAATTTAATCTAGCCGATCGAGGAATCTCGCGTTCAAGGGATACATCGATACGGTTGCATCGATCGTTTTCGCCATAGATCGCTTCGCGTCTCTTCCGTTTGAACGAAGCGATACAAAGATGACGCGGACCGAGAGTTAGGAAAAATACGCGCGATTTTCACACCGACCTTCGCGATACCGAGACCAAAGACTAATTATCATAGAAATAGAAGAAATATATTACCCCGTGATGAAACGAGGAATAATTATTTTATTAGCCTACGGTTGGTACAAAGAATCGCGTATTTGTCGCGTCTGTCCACGCACCTGTACCTCGCTCGGCGATGCGAAGGTTAAACCCGACACGCGTTCGCTATTACGATTTTTCGCGTTACGAGTGTCACACGATTACGTTATTTCTGTATCGCTTCGCATTCGTCGAATTGTAGAGAAAAAAAAAAAAAAAAAAAAGGGAAGGAGAGAAAAACGCGAGGAAGCAGAGATACGCATAGAAATTAGAATATAACGTACCTTATCTGGTGTCTGATAAGTTCGACGATCCCCAACGCTTCTTCCGTCTTCCGCTCCCTTCTCCAACGACCTCCACTCCGCCTCCACCGACGCGAGCCACGACGCGTATCACTTTTTCCCGTTTAACGAAGTCCTTGCACCCTCTGCCCATCCACGACTCGATCGACGCGTCATTCCGACATTCGTTGTCGAGAAACGCGACGACGAATCTGTCGACGATGATCCCTCGCCCTTTGCGCGCCAGACGCTTCGCTATCGTCCACCGGGTCACCTGATTTCCGTGCCAACCCCGTGTCCTTGCTTATCATGCCCCTCTTCTCCCTCTGGAACACCCCTTGTCGTTCGCGCCTTTTCTTCTCGCCTCTCTCTCCGCTTCCTCGCTCCACCTATTTAGCCGCCTTGGTCTCTCCTCTTCTGCAAAGCAGATCAAACGAACAGGTTTAACGCGTGGCTGGATGGAGGTTGCAGCTGCTACGAACAAGAGGACACGAGTTAATCGAGCAAAGAAGGAGTCGCTCGTTTATCGATTTCCTCGAGAAGAATCGAGGAAACGCAGCGGCTAGATGGCAGCGCGGATCGTGGAAAATTCGGTCAGTGCTGGTTCTCGATCGACGAAACTACGACGTACACGCGTACGACGAAGAAATTACCTCGATCTCGCGTGGTAATCGCAACGAGTCCACGCGCGATCGATCTTCAAGTTTTTCCTTCCCATTCCCGTTCAGGGAAACCTGTCGTGGAACGATAAGGAACGAGTAATTGCGTCTGGTTTATAAGCAACCTAAGAGTGACCTAATCGTAATTTTCCTATGGAGCGAAGGAAATTAAAGCTCGAACGATTTCGAGAAACCATTACGCGTTTACTTCCCCGTAACGGAATGCATTATCAACCGAGCAGTATCCTTGAAAGATTATGATTCGAGCTTGGCAGTGTTCCATCGCGTACACTCTCTGTCTCTCTCTCTCTCTCTCTCTCTCTCTCTCTCTCTCTCTCTCTCTCTTTCTCTCTTTCTGCCTCTTTGCCCTCGTTCGTATCGATCTCTCCTCTTCGTCCATCTCTCCATTGTACGAGGCAGAAATATCGAGCTTTTATTTTCCGTCTCATCGGCTTCCTCCCTCCTCGTTCGATCGAAGCGATAAGCGCGGATGGTCCCGCGCGTCCGCCTGACAGAATGAATGGACGCGGAAGAATTCGAGAGCATCGTATCCGGTTCCTTTCGACGCGTCGACGCGTCGCATACGTTTTACGCGCGTACGACGCGGCCCGTCGTCCATTCTTTTGTACGCGGTGCATCACGAACACGGTCTGTCTGTCTCTGCAGCCGGCCGATACCATCGCCATTTTCCACCGCCGAATAATTTATACGTCCAGCGAGGAACAGTTCGAGCCGACAGGCGAACGGACTTCTCTCGGAATCTTCTTCGTTGTTCGTCAAAATCGTAGACCAACTGCTGGAGGCCCTCGAGATCGCTATCGGGAATAAATTTACGTGGGAACGCGGGGCGGATGAAAGGACGGGGCGGGAAAAACGGGAGAAAAATGGGAGAAAAATAGGAGAAAAACGAGAGAAAAACAACGCGGAGAACAAAGGAAGGGAAAGGGGGAGAAAAAAGTGGAGAAACAATAATAAATAGCGGAGAAGGAAATCGTGCGCTGGCGAATATCGCGCGGCACGATAACGCGGCTATCGGTGTTGTTTACGATTCCGTGAATTTACTTTGTAGCAGGCTCGACAAATATTAGAAAACGGCCGAGATACACAGACATCGGGTTGCCTCGGCGGATGAGCCGTAATTACTTTTCCACCTTTATAATTACAAGAGGAGGAGGGACGAAAAGGGCCCGGTTCCAGGCGAAGCAGGGAGGGAGCCCTCGATTACGTCCCACCGTCGACTAATGCTCTGTAAACAGAACAGCCGGTCGAGTAAGTACACGCGTTGCCTTTAAATTACGGAAGCGCGCGTGCATCGAGGCCTGCCATCGGTGACTGCCAACGCTACTCACAGAAACGCGGCGACGAATTACGCGCGAGGAGCGCAAGAGCGCGCCGCCATCAGCGGACGCGATCGTTTCTGGAAATCGAACGAGATACACGGCTCGATACTCGGCTGAAACACTTTCTAAACGATTAGGAGACGGTATTCGCGATTTCGCGATTTTTATCCGATCGCTGGTCCCCCGGGTTACACGGAGAGAATTGTTTTTCTGGAGGCTGTGGACTCGACCGGGTAATACAAGCGCCATCGCGCGTGCTCTGCTCGAACTCTCCAGAGAGGGTGGAGAAAAAGAACGGAGCCGCAAACGACAGCGACGCGACAGGAATCAAAAACGCGCGCGTACACGCCTGCGAGCAGTGGCGCGTTATGAAACTGACATAACGACCAGCGGAGGATTTCGCAAGCGCATACCTAGAAAGCGTTACGAGGCGTGGAGCGCGCGAGCACGCGTTATCTCCGTTTCGATATTGAAATTAAATACGCATTTTCCCGCGAGCTGTGCGTACCGGTCGCCACCCGCGGGCACGAATCAAACGGATCGAAACGAATCGAAACGAATCGAAACGAATCGAGTCGAATGGCGAATTATTTACGCGGCTCGGCTCACCGACCCTATACGGTATATCGGAATTTTAAATCAGCCGCGAGGCTAACTTTATTAAAGATCGTTACTCGTACGGACGCGGAGTAACCGGAGATCGTTTGGTCGGTAGGGAATCGAGGGTCGACGCTTCTGGCTTTCCGATTCGCATGGAGTATCGACAACGAGAGCGTACCGGAATACGCGAAATTAATCCCCGATAACGCGTATCGTCGCCGTCTCGAGACGGTGCATCGCGCGCGTCGATGCACCGAGCTTTCGTCAGCGTACGCCACAGCGCACCGAGCGAGTATATAACGCACGGTATTAATAAAGCACGCGAGCCACACTCGCGCGAGATATTTTTAAAAGAGAATCCCAACGAGAGGTTTCCATCGGGCGATCGAGGTTTCCTAGAACCGCGTGTGCTAAACGCGACGAATTACGTTATCGCGAGTACCGCGCGACGGAAAATGGGAAATTCCGGTTAGTCGCGGAAACCATACGTCGGCAATTACAACGATTAACGGGACGATTAGCGACCCGATCGACGCGATCGACGCGAATAACGCGGCACGGCGTCGCGGAAACTTTCGGCGACGATCGGGAAACGTTGGTCGCGACTGGATCAGGTGATTCGGTCGCGCGGCATGCGCGCGGAATCTCGCGTCGCGTTCCACGTGTGCGTCGTCGACATATTCCATTATATCGTATGAATGAATCGCGCGCGTCCCTGAATACATTTTGACCGATCGATCGGTTCGTCTGCTGTTCGCGTTTAAGCCGTATCTCCTCCCTCTCTGCCCCTCCGCCTTTCGACCATGGTCGTCATCGCCACCCACCCACCCACCCACCCGCCCGTCGCCCTTCTCTCCCGTCGATGGCGCTCGATTCCGCAAACGATGCAAAAGCCGGCTTGAAAATTCCACCGCGTTTTCAACGTGGCAAATATCGAACGAGATAATTAAGGGCTCAGATGTTGGAGTCGCGCGCGGACCATGCTCCATATATACCGAACGCGTTAATTACTCGTCTTCGATCGGCCGCGGCGAGCAGCGAGCAGCGAGCAGAGCTCGGCGAGCATCGCGGCGAACAGCGCGGCGAGTACCGCGCCAGCGAGAGGGGAGAGCATTTTGTAATTCGGAACGCGTGCACAAAAGGAGACTTATTTCGACGTAAAAAACACGCCGATCTGCATACGTCTGACGCGGCTGTGATTTATGAAGCCAGCGACTACGGAGCTCGAGCGGGAGCGAGAGAGTAAGAGAGACTTGAAAACTCGACATCATTAGCGATCGTTACTTTGCGCCCGCGGCTCGAATACTTCGATCTTTTTACGATACATCCGCGGTTACCGGTGCCAGTTCGTTGCTCGTTTTAATTAGAAGAAACGAATCCGTGTACGCGGTCTACGTCCGGTTTCGTAAATATGTCGGCTGAGTTTTTGAAACGTTGCAGACATCGAGCGGCACGGCGTTCGCCGCGAAATTCGAACGAGCAATATTTTCACCCACCCAAACCCGCCGTGCCCCGACCATTACGGCGTTCCGTTTTAAAAGCAAGTATCGTTTGATCGCGACTGTGGCCAAATTTCTCCCATCCTCGACGCAGGACGCGGATGCACCACGCGACCCACTTGGCGGATTCGCATCCGACGAGAAATCGAAAGGAGGCGCCGAGAAATCGATTACGCGAGTGCTGCTATTACTCGGAATTTTTAATCGAAACCCCAAACACGGAACCCGACCGTGGTAAGCTTAGCGATAAAGCGATTTATACCTGGCTAGCTCGTCATCTCGACGCGTGAAATTCCTCGCGACGTTTTCATCTTCCCTTTCCGTCTCTCTCTCTCTCTCTCTCTCTTTCCATTTACAACGTTGGCGCTCGGGCGATAAATCGAGGGATACGCCGCGCAAATATTTTATTCGGCGAGGAATGGAAAGAGGAAAAAGAAAAAGGAAAGAAGAGAAGAAGAAAATTTCGCCGAATGGAACGAAGGACGCCGAGGCGCGCGCGACTTCCTCGAAACCGCGGCGCGTTTTATATTCCACGGGGCGATCGTAAAGCTCGTTGCAGCGCGGCGCAACGCGCGTTCATAATCGCGAGTCAACAACGCCTATCGCGTTACTCGCCGGCCACGCACACGCTACTTTTCGATACTTTATTGCGTTTCTTCGTCGCCACGCTCGGCTCCCGCGGGTCTTTGCTCATTCACCGGCAAACACACGCGTTGTCTCGTTATCTCGAATTCGGCCGGGACCTTGATTCGTTATCGATACCCGCGCCGCCGATGCAACTCGTATCTCGCCGATTCTGCCGCGCCGGTAACGATCCGCCGATCGAGAAACCCCGCGAAATTTTAAACCGCCCCGCGCGTGCGCTTTAACGGGACGCGGTGTAATTGCCAGTCAATAAACCTTATCGCGTTATTGCTCGTCGAGTACTTCTCTATCCTCTCGGCCTTCGCTGCCTCGCTCTCGGCTATCCACGCAACCGACGAAATGTCCCCGAGCGAATTCTTACCGACGCGCCACGCGATACCGTTCAACGTCATCCTTGAGCAAATCTCCGACTATCGATCTGCAACGCGTATCTCGATCCACCGTGCGCGTTCTCAATAACGATCGAAATGGCGCGACGCGGATAAATAGCCGCGTGTTAATTTCTATTCGCGACATCTGGTAGCTCAATATTGGAATTTTATAAACGATCCCTATTTAAACTCTCGATTAAACATTCACGATTATCGCTGTAGTCGACGAGTTTTCTTTTAATACGCGTACAATCGATTTTCCCATATCTCGTTTCTCTGTCCCAATTTTTCCTTTCTCCGGTT